ACATTTTATAAGGAAGGAGTTCTTGGTATGAATGTGTGACTGGGCTGGGACATTGCTAAATTAGAATAGGGGATGTTTTAATTTCTGACAACCGCTTTCACTTCTAGAAAGGACAGCTAGGTGGTTTTGTTACAAAACTCTTTTATTTATGACCCGATGCCTGTTGGAGATTAATACTGCCATACGTGTACTGCACAGTGCTATAGACCGCTGTTACTTGTCGTAATAGAGCAGGGTGACTAATTGCATCTTCCCCCTAATGAAAACCAAGGCGCTGTTTCCTTTAGGTAAGGGAGACCCTAACTGCTCAGTAAATGCGACAAACTGAGAGAGTTAAAGGTACGCAGGGGTCTTCAGATGAAATGCGTCCTGGCTCGTCTGTGCAGCCGGATGATTACGTGACGTTTTGTGTCTCGGTAACCCTCAATGCACGGTGAAATTAACGGATGCATGTTCTTTCTGGTTTTGTTCTCTCTCCCACAAGGCCGTCTGGTACCGTTAGCTGCCCGATTTGCATGGATGGCTACTCAGAGGTAAGGATGCACACGTTGTCGTCGTGTCTGTCCTGTCGGAGGGAGAACGGGGCAGAGGGTGAGCTGCGCGAGTCGGTTGGGTTACGTGGGACGCCACAGACAGCTGGCCTGAAGTACAGACCTTGGTTTGAAGGTCAAGCTAGCTTGTAACTCAGTCATTTCTTGGTGGTGTACGTAGAGGGGGAAGCGCTTTCCAAGATGGCGCTGAAAGATCTTTGGGTTCCTCCTTGTTGTAGTAGTGACGTACTGGTTACAGATACTCCAAGTCCTATTGGCCTGGTGCCAACAGACCAGCAAAGTTGAATTCTTTACTCCAAATACCTGTTGGGGTTTCTTTTCTTCCAGATTGTGCAAAGTGGACGACTGATTGTGTCAACCAAATGCGGCCACGTCTTCTGCAGCCAGTGCCTCCGTGATTCCCTTAGGAATGCCAACTCTTGCCCAACCTGCAGGAAGAAACTCACTCACAGACAATATCATCCCATTTATATATGAGTACTTCTATTTCTCAGGACAGACTCAACTGGATTTTGGGGGAAAATGTCATGTTTTCAGTGCTCTGAAGACTTAAAGAGCAGCAGGTTGTGCACGCATCCAAATAAAACTGGCTTTTTTGGAGAATGACTTGTACATATATAGACAGCTTTTTTTATGGTCCAAGCTGCTTCTTGTTATGTCCCTGGTTATAACGTTAAACTGATGACTGTCTCTAAACTAGACCAGCAGCCTACACCAGAAGGGAAGCAGCTAATCCATTTCCTTCTACTTTTTTAATGCTTAAACAAGAGGGGTCTGAATATTTTGCTATTTCTTACTCTTTAAATTATTCCCACCGTCGCATCCAGGTACGGAATAGTTACCTTGCAACACAGAGGTGAACAAGTTGCCATTTCATTGCACTTTTGTTTTTATCCTGTAAGAAGCTCATGACTATATTGCTTTCTGCTATACCATCTTTGCCCAAGTAGAGTAAGTTCTGGAACGATGGGTCGTTTTCTCTTGAATCAATATTAAATTGACAACCAGGGTCATGCAATAAAATAACCTGCTGTTAACCAGCAATCAGGTTTTTT